CCCACTTCACACCAAATGCAAATTGAATGAATTACCGAGCTGCCCTGCTGGCTCTAACCAGTTTACTTGCTCGCTGCCTCCAAATTCATGGACGAGCGCCATAAATCACAACTGAGCCCAAGTCACGCTACACATATTGGATCATTTACATGAAAACGGATATAAACTCTAGCACATTGACACTGATATTGAACGAATAAGTCATGTAATCAACTTAAATGTGTTATTAGTTATACTTAGTCTAGCAGCCACTGAGAGCAGATTACAGAAAATAATATTTATGAATAATTCTTTAGTTTATTTCCGAGTTGTAATACTGTTGCTCAATAGCAAAAATCTGTCGATATGCTTCATGGTTCTACGCTTTATATATTCCCATATCAATAAAATATTTTCTGTGTTTGTTCATCTCGGTCCATTAGGCCAACCTTTTCGCTAGCACAAAGAAAAGGGAATATAGCTTGGAACGCAGACATATTTAAATTCCAAACATGTGCACCGAAACTCCGACTGCTGACAATGTCGAGATGCTCGATACACATAAATATATATACATTAAGTGTATATATTTGCATTGCTAAGGTCGTCAATTGAAATATTGTCGTTGCCGTTGCCAGGCAACGCGGAAACGAATTCGTCCCCAGGCACGATTGGTTGAACAAGAAGAATATCATAAAAGCTGACACATTTTATGCCATTCGAGCCGAATTAGCAACGCCTTCAATATTGTCTACATTTTTCTGCTTAAAAGCACAATGAAAATCAATCAATTATATGGCGAAAGCAGTGAGAAAAGTTTTCCACTTTATATTATTTATTTTTATATTTACTTACAATTATGCACAGGAGGGGTATATTGGTGTTGGTTATCTGGTTATAATACTTAAATTGGTTAAGTCAATATTGTGTATTGCAGCTCATAGAGTATTAAGAAGTTGAGAAGGAACAAGAAGGAAAATTGCCGTCGACCGCTATCGACTATGGATTATCAAAAATTTGGGTACCCACAAGTCTCTAGTTACACAAAGCCAAATACCCTTTCACTTCGTGAATGAATAAAAAACAGTTGAAGGTCAGACAGAGCTGAGTGTGCCGCAAGAGGAGTACACCTCGCTATTTGTGTTTGGATGTCAGGTATTTCGTCGTCAATTGAAAAAAATTTGATAAAAAGAATCATATTTTAAGGCATAACAATTTATATTCACTATATAAATACTTTATCTATGCACGGCAACAGCTTCCGTTACTAATACTAACTCAAGCTAATGTTGTTCCCCAGCGTCTGTTTGATAAGCCTAACTTTGCTTTGGAAACCGAGCCGAACCCAACTCACTTGAAAGTTTGCTCAAAGTTAAGCAATTCCTTTGTGACAACAAATTGTTTTAAATTCGAGGCGAAACTTTGCAACTGGCTCTTTTACAACTTGGCCAAGAGTAGTGGAAAGTGGCAAGAGAAAGACTATTTACTTTACTTATTGCACATATAACTCATACGCCGCGTGCGCACATGAACGTAAAGCCTTGTTTTTATCAAAATCATGCAGAACGTTTTCTTAGTCAGTTTAAAATTTGGCTAGCCAACGTACGTGGCATAATTACTGTTATGCAGAGCTCTTGCCAAAATATGGGATTTAAACGCATTTTCAATTAGCACCGCAAATGTCATCAGTCAAGCAACCAACCCAACCGCAGCTAATAATGAGCTGACAAATTACAGGCATCAGCAAAACAAATAAGACAAACAAACAAATAGGACAACAAACATCACGTGCCGAGGCAGACATCTTACTTCGGGTGCGTGACATTGTATGAAAGCAGGCAATTCCTGCCCGACAGCCTGTATGAATAATGTCGTCTGCTTGCAACACAAACTTAAACAGAAGTGCCAACTCGCATAGCTTGGCTAAAGTGTCGCGTAATTTATTTGCCACCTCTTGCGTACGACTGACAAATGGCCTGATAATTTGGCCCCCGCTCCAACTGCAGTATTTTATGCTATCTTCTATTGTCAGCAATGACATGATGATTATGGGAAGATACAAATGTGTATTCAGCTGTTGACAGTGCTAATTAGTTGAACACCTCCGTGGACTCAAACGGGCTTAAATCAAATCTTAAAATTCAATTTATTTCAAATTAAAAAAAATACTATTATTGAAGTCAAGAATGTCATCTCTTTTTGTTAGAAGATCAACCCTCTTGTAACTCAACTCGTTTTCAAGTTTCCCAAGTTAAAATGTTTGGAATGGAATCTAGTTTTTTTGTTTCCTAATTTATTAAGTCGTTAGTTATTCAAAAAAAAAAAGGAAGGCGCCTGCTGTTAATGCCATTGCTGTTCGCATTTGCATAATTTTACAACTGCCCTGAAAATTTGTCATCAAAAAACTATCAAACAAATGTCAACAGCTGTGGCGCTAAAGTTTTGCCTTTCAGCGAAGACATGCCCAGCCCCAACCGTTGTTGCAGTCTTTAATGTTTCTTGAGCTGCATGAAAAAACAGCTAAGGTTGACAAGGCTTCCACAATGAAAGGTGTAAGCGCTTTCAATGAACTTTATAACAATGAAATTCCGACAATTCTAATGCCTAGTCAAAGTTCTTATAATTAGCTGAATAGAAAGTTTAGTGGAAGTAAAATGTAGTCGTTGGTTAATTGGGAGTTGAGAGAGTGTCAGAATTGTTTGACAAAAAATTGCTAAAAAATATTTAAAATATATGAAAATAGCTTAGCGTATAAGAATTAATTTAATTTTATAAAATACATATATTTACATAGTTTCTGTATAGTTCTATTAGCTATCTCTTAGGCAGAGAATTCGCAAAGCTAAGCAAAACAGCCCATTTCCGTCGAGCACTAGCATAAAATACGTTTAACATATTAGTTTTTGGAATTAATGGGAAGCCGTGACAGCTAAACTAAGGCTGTCAAACGAAACTTCCTGTGACTGTCAACATCAACGACGCATAAATATATGGTTATAACAATATATTCAAGACAAGTTTAATTACGCAATCCTCGTGGATGTGGAAAGTCTCACAGATATTAGCCAACAAGGAACAGAACAGTGAGATATTTGGAACTGATCATTGAAGTTAAGCGTTCTCCACATTCTTGAAATTTAAAAAAACGTTTAAAAATATAGAAATAAAATAGAATATATGAATATAAATAAAAACAAAAAAAAGAAGAAAGAAATTAAAAACTCTTGACTTTTAAGGAATAAATAACCGAAAGAGAAAATCATTCCCAATCAAATTATCGATTAAGCTTTAAAATGCATATTAAGGCTATGCTCAGGTGTGTTATAAATATTAAGACTATGCTCTGGTGGCTTATAAATAAATCAATTGAATACATTACTTGAATGTTTAACACCTTTTTAATTCAACTGAATGCGAAGACAACGACAGAGCAGAAGAAGCCACGATAAATTGCAAAAGAAATCCAATAAAAGGAGAGCAAATTATACGTGGGCTTGTGGCAAGGATTCGCATTGCACTTCGCATCGTCGCCCTTCCAATTGAATTAATTAAATATAAAAAGTTTTTTTTTTGTGTTTTCTCTTATATGTAAATATATTGGTTTTTGCTGCGCGAGTTGTAATAAAACTTCACTTTTTAAATTGCAATCGGCGTTAATTGCTTGAGAAAATTCCACAAAGTCGGCTAACGAAGCGCCAGTTAAAGGCAGGACTCAAATAAAAATATATATAAAATATATTTTATATTTTTGGCACTTTATTATGGTTCGATACATCTCGAATAACAATTGCTATATCACTCTGCAAGCCAATTAAAATTTAAATATTCCCATTTATTTAGAACCAGAGGGCGTCATATGAAATTTGTTTCTGGTAAAATATTTTGCGCCATTATTAGATAATTTTGATTTTTGGCAAACATCAGTCTATAAATCATGTTCACTAAATTGCATTAGCTGATATCAATGTAAATTATGATGCCATAGTCGGCCAGCAATTGGAAGTTAATTCAATGGAGAAAGTCAATTATCAAAATTAATCACAATCTATTATGTCAATAAATAACGAGTCTACTCTTGGCCGAATGTGCGCCGAAGGTTGGCCAAAAGGTCAGCCAATGAAGCGAAGATAATTTTCCCTACACACAGCTGAACCACATGATATAAATTTCATGCGGGCGCACATCAATCATAAAGATGGATATGCATTAGGGCCCTTCGGCAAACACATTAACCGGGCCAATCATTTCGTCTCGTGTGTTTGAGTTAACAATCATTAGCTGGGCGGCGGGAGCTGTGATTGCCTCTACGCACTACTAAATGCCAGATATCGAAGGTTACACCTCTCTGAGAATACAAAGAAAGCAGTTCAAGGTGACAAAAGTGACTTATTCGATTTATATTATATATACATGTAAATAGAATATATATATAATAATACAAAATATGTACTCAGTCTGAGCTTCTTTCATAGAATTGAATTCGTTCCATTTTCACTCAGAGTTATTTATTGCATTAAGTGTAAATCGTATTACGCTGGCGCTTCGTGTTGGCCTGGCCACAAATGAAATTTGCGAATTTTTCTTTTGGCAATAGACACAGCGTTTATAGCTGTAAATGTTTGCCGAAACAAGTGACAAATATGTGTATCTCTGGGGTAACCAAATTGAAAGCTTCTGCTGTTCGCTTTTAATTAAAATCATGTGGAATTATTGCAGGCACGTGGTGAGGCGACCACCTTCTAAAGCTACCCGCATTATTACGCTCTTGCGCTCGCAAATTCGGGACTTTAAATTGAATCGGAATTGAAATTGGATGCTGTGCAAACTATAAAATGATGTTGGCCATGTCCCATGTGCCCATATAGGTAAATCAGCGTGAAGCCAAGTTTGTGGCAATTTAATTAGATACAGTAATTAGAAGATACAATTTATAGTGATTACAGAACGCACTAAGCTACGGCTTTTAATTGGTGCTAGAAACATCTAGTTATATAGTTATATAGTTTTAGATTAGTATGCCCTGTTCACAAACAAAGTCCGTTTCTCCAGTTTTATTTTATATTTTTCATAAAAGAGACAAGCTTAAAGTTAACAACGAATCAGAATGGAACCCTGGATAACCCTAACCTGTGTGATGACGATCTTTCTGGTCCACGGTCGCACCGGGAGTATAAGAAATGGACTCACTGCGCTGGGCCTACACAACCACACACATGGCATGGCCATGGACTTGTGGCCGGCTCACTCGATTGTGCCCGAGTCCTACTGCAGTGTTTTGCTACACAGGCTGCAGGGCTCAGAGTGCCCTTTTCTGCGACTATTCGTTCACGTCTTCCTAGCACTGCCCATCTACAACTTGATGTTGATTGTGATTTGGTAAGTTTTAACCTCAAGATGCACGCAGCTTCAACTTAATCTCTTCATCTATAGCTGGCAGCTTAACAGAAGCGCGTCCCATAACGCGGAGCGAATCGTAGTGGTTCTGCAGCCCATCATTCCAATGTCGCCTCCCGATCCACCCGCTACGATGACACCAACAACGCCAGCTCTGCCGCCTCTGCCACCGCCTCGTTGCAAGCGGCGTCAAGCGCCTAAGCCGCCGCCGCGTATTGTGCAGCCCACGCTAAGCCACGCCAATGGCTATCCTAGTCAAAGGGACCCCTTTTACAATCCGGATCAATACAAGACCCTACGTAGAAATCTAAAGCGAGTGTTAGAGGGACTACAGCAGCCAGTGCCCACAGCCACGATTTCCTCGTTGCCATTGCCGTTGTGCAGTATCTCGTGCCTGACCGACGACTCCATCCATTCCTCGTCGACTATTACGAATCTCGAAGCGCCCAAGAAGAAAGCAAAGACTCGAAAATTATTTGGTTCGCTGTTCAAGCGGTTGACCAAGCCCTTTGTAAGAAAGCGCAATCCTACGCAGGACGATGAAATAAAGTCGAGCACAAAGAGCGCTAGCAGACTCAGCGACAAGAGCGGCATATTTCATCCCATTTGGCTGCGCATAAAGATGCGTTCCAAGCGCAAAACTGGTGCCAAGCTGCCCTTGAGTAGCTCCGAATCGATAAGCACCAATGGCAGCTCGCAGTGCCTATACTCCTAGGAGCACGGGTAGCCTTCAGACTATTCTGAAACACCTCTTGATTGTTGTTTATCTAGACACCTATATTTTGTTACTTCTTATCAATAAGACTTTTAAATAAAAGTTCTTTGGCATCAGCTTTGACTATTAACTATTTCTAGCCAATCTTCAATTGAGTTTCGATGCCCAAAGCATTTTGCCTCGGACTTTGACTTTCTGTTTGTTATTGTCGTGAGCCTCGCCTTGGGAAACTTATAATCTTGCAGCTGAAAACTAGAAAATCCCCTGCAAACCTCGTCACATATTTGAATTTAATCCAATTTCTAGAGGCCTTGGGACCTTGCGGCCTTCGGTTATTACGCTGACTGTGTTGACATACTGATTGTTGTTGCCGTCGCTGCTTGCTAAATATTTAAGAGGCTCTCGGCTCGTTGTTACCTGAGATTGAACCCAAATACATAAAAATTCAATTTGATTTGTGCGTAGGTGTGACTTTGGATGTGTGTGAGTGTGTTGTTCAAATCCATTTAATGTGCTCAAAAAAAGGCTGAAGAGTTTGATGATGGCTGTCACGGAAAATGAATTATTCTGACCCGAAGCCGAATGTTTTGATGATGCCTTAACTCAAATGTTTCATTTGCCCCTTTTATGCAAAGCCAATAAAAATACACACACACACACACGCATAACCACCTCAAATGTGCTGTCAATTTTCATGTTTTCAATAAAATCAATTCAATTTCAATTAAGCAAATAATCAAGATGATTTAAGGCTTAGATTTGCCATTCAAATTCGAGCATTAAAGTCAATTTTATTTAGATCCCAAATTGAGCTCAATAAAAATATGAATTTACATATTTATTTGGCTGAGACTTTACAGCATTTGACGCATATATTTCTTTTTTATAACTTTCTATTTTTCAAATTATTGTAATTTTTTATGATTTGCCTAAAGTTTTATTCCCGCATGCATAGCAATATTTTTATATTTATTGCGCGTTTAAATGCATTCGAGACTTTTTTGTTTTTAATGGGCCATAAAATAACAGAATTTTGCCTTAAATCAAAATCGGCATTTGAGGTCAGATTAGTGCGTTTCTCGAAGCAATTTAAAAGTCATATCAGCACAAATTCCGGGACTTAAACAACAACGTTGGGTATTCCCCTACTGAGCCTTACTTGAAAAATATATAATTTTGCAAAAGTTGTTTTTTTTTTGTGAAATTAATTTATTTTCTGCTCAACTTTTTTGGCAAACTTTGAGCACTTAACCTTGACTGAACAATTTGTGGAACAAAATCCCCATTGAGTTTTTTAATGACATCACAATTTTAAAGGTCTCGAAGCGTCACCAAAAGTGAAAAGTTATTTTAGCCTACCCGAATTTGATTTATTATGCGTGGAAAATTGAGCTTTATGCTTAGTCAGGCTAGCGAAAAGCATAAGGTGCGTGAAATGATTAATAAAATATTTATAAAAATATTTTAATAATATAAATATAAATTTGAAAATTATTGAAAATATTAAATTATCATTATAAATCCAAATTGTTTGTACGAAATATATTTTAGCCTACAATTTGCAACTTTTAAGCCTCAATTTTGATGAGGAGTCTCCACCTGAAATGCTGAAAGACTTGACATTAATTGTGCTTAGCCAAGTTGTAATTTTGTGGTTAGCCCTTTTTAACATTTTCGTGGGCGGGGCCCAAGTGCACGTGTTACTCCCACTTAATGGTTGGCGGCATTAGTTCTTTGTCGAGCTGCTCAGATTTGCATAATGAAAAGACTCGCCCGGCAGCCTGGCAGCCTTTCATAACTGTTGCCCCCAGGGCTACATTTTGTGCCTTTGTTTAACCAGGAGCAGCATCTTGCTCTAACGAATGTCCCGAATATAAATAGCCGTAACTGATAGGCATGTTTGCACAGCTATCATCAACACCCAAACTATCGCTGGGCGGGTCCCAACTGTCTGGCTTCTCGCTCCTTTAATCAGGTGCCTTGTAAAAGATGTTTTGTATACTTTCAAGGGTTCCAGTTGTCTACCAAGTTAATTGTATACATATTTCTTATGAGCCCCAACTACCTTTCTTCTAGCCCTGCCCTGCTTGCCTTTTACACTAAATTTATATATTTTTTTAAATAATACTTTAAAATGTTCCCATTTTATTAAAGTTAAAATTTTGGCTTTATATAATTTTTCTAGCACACAAATTTGTCATCCAAAATTGAGCGTGTGGCATGTTGGGTTAACACTTCTGCAAGCAGCTGGAAAGCCATATGGAAAACTTTCCCTGTGATACAGCCTGACATAATGTGATAAATGGAGTGACCCAAAAATAATAATAGTTGCCTGCTCCGCTCTAAATGCATATGCGTATGTAAAAGTTCTTATTGTCCCAAAAAGTTATGTATTTATAAGTGAAATGCTTTGAATATGCATTGGTTCAAAAGTAGTTTAACTGAATTTATACATAAATAATAAAAGAGATGAGTCAAGTCCATAGAATATATGCTTATTTTGCACATTATTGGACAAAAGTTGAGAATGAGTAGGCTCAAATAATGATGGCCACAATTTTCATGGCAATTTTGCTGAGAGTTCTGAAGTCAAAAAACATCAAATTCCTATGCCATGCTGCAATTAGGCGCAAAATTTATAAAGTTAAGTCGAGCGTTTAAGCTGTTGACATGGTTAAACGATTGAATTTGAAGATTAGAAAGCTCAAATTAAACGCTAGGTAATATACGATGTGTGCTCAAAAAGTGTTGAGACGGCAAAGAAAGAGGAGATGAATATGATTACAAAACGTGATTTTTTGCAGTGCTTTGAGAATTGAAATAAATGTTGACTCAAGCTCATAATAGCAGCTTTGGAGGCAACTAAATATATACTTATTAAAAAATACAAAATTGTTTAAAAAAAACAAAATTTCGCAATACTTTTGAAACAGGCATTTGATACCTTTTAGTTTATAGACTTTTTCTGTTTGAGTCCTAAATTTTTGCTGTGCGTCTTTTTGTTTGTGACCGAAATTTAATGTCCGTTACGCACATAAAGCACAATTAATTATGCGAAGCTTTTAGAGCTCAGTTTCCCTTTTAACAGCTTAAAATGAATTTTAGGAAAACTTTTTTTTCGCATTTAAGAGCACATTTTCAAATATTCCTTTGTGCTAAAAAAAATTTTGCCAAATATAATTGTTGGTTGCTTGTAAGCAACAGCTCAAAAATATTAGATTTCCATTTGTATCGTCAAAGGACGGCTGGCTATATGAATGCCGCCACATTTTGCAGTGCTAATTGGTGCAAACCTTTTAACGAGCTGTTTGATGTCAACGGACACCCGTTAGCTAAAGGAAAACAAAAGTGCAGACGGATCAAAGCAGCGCCCAGTTGTTGCCAGTGGCCATGTTAGTGGGTTTACCCAAAAATTGCTGTTATACACACCTCAAAGTGAACTACAAGTGACACTCAATGAATGGACACATGCAAATCCGCAATGGCCTTGTGTCAGGCTCGCTCTGCATGCGTCATGGAGCGGCAAAGTGCGTCGAATGGCTGCCCGGATAGATGCACATTTTTGCTAGATATGCAAATATGCAAACTCGCCGAAAGGCAGCCAAATCAAATGGACACACACACACACAGCCACATTCACGCACAACTAGTTTGGCAAAGATTTTTGCTGACCGCGCCAAAAACCAATATCACACCCGTTAGCTAAAGGAAAACAAAAGTGCAGACGGATCAAAGCAGCGCCCAGTTGTTGCCAGTGGCCATGTTAGTGGGTTTACCCAAAAATTGCTGTTATACACACCTCAAAGTGAACTACAAGTGACACTCAATGAATGGACACATGCAAATCCGCAATGGCCTTGTGTCAGGCTCGCTCTGCATGCGTCATGGAGCGGCAAAGTGCGTCGAATGGCTGCCCGGATAGATGCACATTTTTGCTAGATATGCAAATATGCAAACTCGCCGAAAGGCAGCCAAATCAAATGGACACACACACACACAGCCACATTCACGCACAACTAGTTTGGCAAAGATTTTTGCTGACCGCGCCAAAAACCAATATCAAATTTTGCAAAACAAAATGCAAAAACAATTTTTTAGTCCTGCTTTCGCCTTTGTTTGTTTGAATAACTTCTGTGTGGTTCGAAGCGCCATATATACTGCATATATTGCTGAAAAAAGTATGAGCTTAATTTGACTTTAAAGCTGCAGCATTGAATAGAACTACAAAATGTCTTGCTAATTGTAGACACAGTTGAAAGCAGTGTCATCCGAAGGAAACAAAATAAAAATCGAAATTGCTCTAAATATTTAACTGATTGAAAGTGCAAGGTAAATACGAAACGACAGCTGAAGCAGATCAAATTGCTACCGGAAAAAAAGCCATGGAAATCGACAATGTGGCAGCGGGAAATGAGCAGCTGGTAGCCAGCTAACTAACCACTAATGAAACCACAATGCAACACAACAAAACTAGCAACAAAATAAAAGAGAAAGAGAGAGAGAAAAGGAAAGGAGTAGATAGAGAGAGAGAGAGGCAACAATTAATTAACAATGCTGGCCAAAATGCGAATTGGGTCACTAAGGGCAAGCTCGACGAGCACGAGATAATTTTGTAAAATTTGTGGACATTGCTGTTGCATAAAGCCCCGGCCCTCGAGTGTTTGTTGACAGCCCCGCTGCAGGTAACACAGCTCTCTAACGAGATATGCAACACAATGTGGACTAAAGTGAATTGAAAAGGAAAACTTTCAACTGCAACGGAGCAAAAAGCGCTTCAGTTTGATAAAAGCAAATAAAGCATGATTTTTTTAGAGCTTTATTAGTTCAGATCGGAATAAAACAATGAAATGTATTTTTAATAAGAACGAAATGTACTTTATTGCATTAAAAACTTTATGAAATTATTTAAATATAAAGCCAAGAATGGATTTATTGTTATGAAAGTCACGAAATGGCTGAAGCACGAGAATTTTGACGAATTTAAGCATTATTTTCATACGAAATTTGCACAAATTATTAGATCTCATATAAGTCTAGCTATAATAAAATGTCAAAATAAACTCAATAAATGGCAACTTTCAATTATTAAAAAGGCTATCCAATAAAGCAATGCTGCATACCAAAAGCTGTGCAACTTAATAGAAAACACCTTTCATTAGTTTTCAAGTTTTCTTGCTTGAGTAGCTGATTTAAATCTTAAATTGCCAATAAAACTTTGTTAATATTAAGATTATTACTCATGTGAATATCTGCAGTCCATGATATGACACAAAGCCCTGTTATGAACAAATTAAGCCTAACCTTAGCCAGGGTATTTACTCTTTGGCGTTCATTCAGCGTTTTTTCTGCTCTTCGTTGACATTTTAAAATGTAATTAAATTTTAAAGTGTAATCAAATAACATATGTATACATATAAGCCTTCTAAAACAGTTGTTTACTTTGTCACTCTGTGTGTGTGGCTGTTGTTGCACTTTAAGTAAGTGCAACTGAATACATTTTGAGCTGAAATGCTGCTGCCACATCGCGCATACATGGCATAGCCAGCCGCAACGTGACATGAATAGAGCGAGCGAGTGAGCAAAACTGTTGCCACAACCTCAGCAAAGCCGTGGCCATATTTCTGATGTCTTCATTCACATATTTGCTATTCCAAAGGCACTCACAACAGAGAAGCGGGCATTTGCATTTGTAGCACATATACATTTTGGTGGCATCTCGAACACAAAAAACAGACATATTCATGACTAGGCTTTTGTCTGCAGCCTGCTCTGGCTAAGTCATCTGGATAATTGCACTGCGATGCCATGCCACATGCAGCATGAAAAACTTGTCCATTCAAAGCAATTCAAAAGCAATCAAACCGAGCTAAGAAAATCCTCATGCACAACACTCAGAGCACAACTTATCTATGTACATATGGTATGTATATATGTATATATTTATGTAAATATGTATGATCATGCATATGCATATTTTCACTTTCTTCAGTTTTCCATTTGTTTTTTTGATGGCCAACATGACATTTGACGTTATCTAAATGTGACTTTAGTAGAGCTTATTAAGCGCTTAAATTTGAAGCTTAAATATTTCACTTATGTTCCTTTCAAGAGGTAAGGGCACATTAATGTATGATATGATGAATATCATTTAAATATTTGCTTAGACTTAACGAGTTTTAGTATCAATTGTAGTGAGGCCTTCTAGTCAGCTAGCTAGCACTCAGCATATATCTGACAGCATATATTCATGAAGTTGATAGAAATATAAAGTTAAATAGTTTATTTTATAGTCTCTCAAAAATGCTAGGAGCTGAGGTGCAACAAGGTCTTCTGCCAGGCATATCACGCTCGCAAACATCAACAGCTAAAAGTCTTAAGCCAATTACTTGCAAAACTATAAGTTGATGCGTTGATGTAGAAAGCCATCGTGGGCGTGGCACCTTGCCCAGACTTTGGCCAAAAGTCAAAAGTTGGCCAGCCATTGGCTCATGAAACACATGAATGCACAATGAGTGCAACTGAAACGTCACGTGGAACAGCAAAGCCACAAGTGAATGCTTTAACAATTCACAGTTCAGTGAGTCACATGACATGCAAAGGCCAAGCTCAGGACAGCCGAAAATGACTTATTAAATTATTAAATAGACATGCAAGAAAAAACTAATATACAATAACTCAGGGTTAGCCCGCTCAGATGGGATATAGGGTAAGGCATATGTGCCAATTTGGGAACATAAAGTTTCATGCGCTTAATTTCTCTGACTTTTCTTTTGCACACTTTGCTCTGGTTGCCAGCACAGAGCTCGTTGGCTGCCAAAAGAGTTTCACATTCGGTTGCCATTTTTACGAGCACTGATAGCTGCATATTCAATTTCTGCACTTTGTCGTGGAACTTTGTAAAGCAACTGTGGGGCTTCTTTCTCTATTTCCTTTTTTTTTGCTGCTAGTCGATTCGATTGCTGGCATATTTTGTATGGAAAGCCAAACTGCTAGTTGTGTTTCATTTATATACGTCAACTGGGAATTTATTTGACCGAATACAAATGCTTAACATGGGCAATGGCGATAAATAAAACACGTCAACGAAACTGAAAGCAATTAACAACAAAAGCAACCAACTGCCAGTTACAACAACAGCAAACAGCGAACAGCGCACAGCAATAAAAACAACTGCTGGCCATGCTTCAATTTCAGGCTGTGGTTAGAAGATTAAAAGGGCAACGAGAAACCACAGCAAAGTTCAAATTTAAGCCAAAGTCGAGCGTCAATTGTTTATAGCAACTACAATGGCTTGAAGTGGTGGCTATGTAGATCAATTTAGCCATGGCTTATGCATGGATATATACCTTGACTAAACTGAATTTAGTTCGATTTTTAAGATATGTGATTTCAGCTAAATTTATACTTCCGCTGCCCTGCCACGCTGGCTGTTGCCTTTCAGTAAACTGTCAAATACCTGGCACTAAACGCGTAAAGTTTCGAATTTACGGTAGCCCGCGTCACTCATTAAAATGCAAATTCGAAAATATCGCAGTTGTTAGCCGAAAAGTGCTCTGTGCAGAGCCAGCTGTAAAAACCACTTTCGAGTGTCCCTGTGCAGGGCAAAGTTTGTGCCACAAACTAATCATGAACAGCAACAGAAGCAGCAGCATATATATATATATATATATATTACTATATAGATATCGTTGCAAGCAATACCTAGTTTATGTTGCGCTGCTGCCTCATCAAACTAAGTTTTCATAGGCAGCTGCAAGATATTGATTTCTAAATTGATTTTGCTGATTAGAGATAGAAACACAGAGAGAGATTTTATGTTCAAAGCTGACTCAATTTTATACATATTATAGTTGATTGAACTACTTAACTAACATGAAGAGTGCTGCACAGCTCGGCTGCGGCTTAGGTGCGCCTAATTGCTCTTAATTATGCATAAATAAAATTCCAGTTGAGGGAATGGAATAAAGTTGTGTGCGCTGCAAACAATAGACAGAAACTGAATTGTGGGCATGGCAAGCGGCAAAATGTTAAATGAAAGCTGTAAGCAAATTGCATAATACGCAGCCAGGTGGATGCGAACAGACAAGTGAGTTCTAATTGAGAATACATGGAAAGAGATTTGATTGAACAATGGAGTCGTTAATAAGGTCCATTACCACATCACTATATCATTCAATTGCATTCCCCTCAATTAATAAAGCAGCAGAACAGATGTAAATTACACCCTAATTAATTTTATACAAATCTTTCAGACACTGATAACGTTTGCCACTTGACCCGAGTTCTGTGAAAGTGTGCTATAGCCTGGGCTTGAGCTCTCTCTTATCGGCAGCAGCAGAAGTAAATAAATACTGTGTGTAGTATATATGTCTATATAAACCTATATACGCTGAGTGCTAACAATAAGAATGCGTAGATGTTTATATTATTTCGATCATCGGGTATGGCTGGTCAGAGTATTTTGATGTTTAGTTCTGTGTTGTGCGATCCGAGCGACGGTTGCCAGTGACGCGTGCAAAGATGACGAAAAAGTTACTTGCTCCACTGCTAATTCTAGTGTTAAATATTATGGCGACACAGGCGAACTTATTGGAGATTTTAAGAATACAAAACCAGCTGAAGAGCTCATATTACGACATTGAAAAGCTGCAGGCGAAATACAAAAGTAAAATCGAGGAAGCCATCCTAATGGAAAAGCAATCCACACTGCAAGACTTGAAGACCAAAATGAGCGATGAGCTAACCAACTGTCGCGAGGAGAAGTCAGCCTTCGAGGTGCTCAACAAGATTTACTCCGAGCAAATCGTTGAGCTGCAGAACAAAGCCAACGAGGTGACCGCCCAGCTGGAGGAAAGGGATCGTCAGATCAACGATGGACTAGCGACCATGGCCACCTTCACGACCATCATCAACGAGCAGGCCAAGCAAATTGAATTGCTGAAGGACGACGCCGCTGTCAAGTCGCAAATAATTCTCAACATGGAAATCAAAACAAAAGACATTACAGAGAGACTTAAGAACAATTTGGAAAACTTTGAGACGACAACGAAACTGGAATTTGAGGCCAATAGCTGTGTGCCGTTTCCAGACTCGTCTGAGGTGCATGTCATAAAAGTTGATGATGGAGATGCCTTCGCAGTGTCCTGCGACTCCAGCTTGGCTGGGCCCGGCTGGACCGTTGTGCAGCGGCGCCTGGATGGAAGCATCAAGTTCGATCGCAATTGGCTGGAGTACCAGGAGGGCTTCGGCAATCTGAGTGGCGAATTCTTCATAGGCCTGGAGAAGTTGCATCGTCTGACAACATCGCAGCCACACGAGTTGTACGTGCATCTAACCGACTTCAACAATGACAGCAGCCACGCCTATTACGATAGGATCGTTGTGGCTGACGAGAGCGAAGACTATGCCCTGAGCGAGCTGGGCGAGTACTCCGGCAACGCTGGTGACTCGATGCGCGATAATGAGCACCAAAAGTTTACCACCTTCGACAGGGATAACGACCAGAGCGAATTTAACTGCGCAGAGACCTGCTTAGGTGGTTGGTGGTACAACAACTGTGGACTAAGGTCGGTTGAGCAATCAGCGCATATTCATTCTTATCAATTATCTCAATTGCTTTCACTTTCACTTTCAGCAATCTCAACGGACGCTACACAAGGCGCGACGAGTATTACGATAACTCAGAGTATGGCATATTCTGGGATGAGTGGCAGGGACCGGGATATACCCTGCAGTCAGTGCAGATCATGATTCGGCCTAAGAACCTAACCGACAAATAAGCAATTCTCTAATCTACTTTCACATGGTAAATAACAAATTGTAGAAAGTTCATTTTCTAGTAAATATATTCAACATAAACAAGATTTTTGCTTAGCCTAAATATTATAGATTTGAAAGGCAGAGACAAAGCTTTGCTAGCCATTTGTATTTGGGTCTGGCATATGTAAAGGCTGTCAAAATATTACATCGGCTGCGCAGGGCACATCATTCATGCTGCTGCCGCAAAGTGTTGTGCAACTGCGACTCAGGTATGTGGCACGTTTCGGTGGCTACGTGTGATGCCACAGCCATGTCGTAACTAGAGGCACAAAAAATGAAAAGACAACAGGTCGTGCTGTGTGTCGACCTGCTATCCCATGTTACTGTGCCACATTTTTGGCCTAGACAAACAACATACACATGTAAATGGTGTGTGTGTGCGTCGTGTCAGTCTCTATGTCATCGATCAAATGCCAATTAGTCGAGATATTCATTAGCCTCTAATGTGGCAATGTTATCTGAAGCAGCCCACCTGAAATTGTAGCCAGCAGAAGCCCTGGAAACTGAGACATCAATTTAAATTAGGTCTATCCCAATTCAAATTTCGTAAATTGCTCATACGCCTCGTATGACGCACATGAAAAGTCTTTAAGCTTAAAATGGGATTTTTCTTATTTTTGGCCAGCATGTCTACTACTTAGTCTATATCCCTGTTAGTCAAATTAAATTTAAATTATTTTTATATGCCACTTACATTAAAATTAAAAAGGTAGCGCAACAGTTGGGTGAAATAAAAAGTGCAAAAAGTGAGCATCGTTATTTAAATGCTTACGCTCATGCATAAACATGCTCACATCTACATAAATAACTTAACTTTTAAGTATATGCACGTTCCTGTTCCGCACATATACTGCATTTGTAAATAAGCGTAAAATCGAATTTCTGCACGTTTGTGTCGCTCCTTGCCGGGTGCCTGGTGTCTTCTTTTATGTGTCCTGCGAGCTGTGAGCTACCAGGTGTGAGCTGTGAGCGGCTGCTGTCAGTCAGTCAGTCGGCTGCTGAGCTTGAAATTTGTTTACCTTTCACTTCAAGTTTCCAATCAACGCCCAAAGCAGACGAGGGCCGACTGGCAGGCAATTGATGCAACTGCTCTTTTGATCTGTTTAGCATTCGTTCGCTCGCGGCTGAGTAGCTCATCACAAATGGATAAATTGGTTTGCATATGAATATGAGCACGTGCCGCCAAACTTAAAGATTAAAGTTGGTGGTATCCACCAAAAGGTTGACTTTGAGCTTTATTGCGAATGACATTTGGAGTTGTTGAAAATATATGAAAAATTAGGGAAAAAAATAAAAATATATTTTACATATTTTATATATTTTATTTAAATATTTTAGGCTAGTCCAACAACTCACAAAGCTTCGATTACAATATTTTCCTTTTATCGGAAAACTCAGAACAAAATTTATAAATGTGTTCACATCTCTTTTACTGCTCTCAGCCTCAAGGCAACGACAGTTTCAAGGGCGAACTACAACAAACTCACCTATCTATACGACGTCTTACTTATGCATAATAACTTTTTAAGATGCGGTAGTTCAGCTGAAAGAAGTCTGAACTACACAGCTTAATGTAATTTGGGCCTAAATATGACTCGCAAATTTAATTACTTTTAGTTACATCAGTGAAAAGAAATTCTATTTTTGAGTTAATAATTGTGTACTATGGCTAGCCTCAGGAAAACTTTTTGAGGTGCTCATACTCATTTCTCATTTCAGACTGCCAAAGTTTCCTCGCAAGCAACCGCAACTTAGGCGTAGGCGTGAAACAGAACCTTTCTTCACTGGAATTAAGGCACTTTTTAGATAGATAATCTGCTGCCAAAACTTTATAGTGTAAATGAGTGCAAGACAAAAGAAATTTTTGTACATTTGCTAAAAGCGTCAGCTATAAATAATAATAGAAAAATATTCAATTTTGCAAACTCTATACGAACTTTCCTATAAGGATTGATTTCAAATATATTTGTTGTTGAGCTACTCACAAGCAGCAGAGTGGCGCAGTGGAAGCGTGCTGGGCCCATAACCCAGAGGTCCGAGGATCGAAACCTTGCTCTGCTATACGTTTTAATGTGTATTTTATCTATATTTATTTTTATTTTCATATGAGAATTCAGCATTCACTTAATTTGATTTATAAAGCAAACAAAAACTCATTTCATGTAACAACAATCTGTAATTGTTTAATCTATTTAAATATTTACATTCCAAGACTAATTTAAATACAAAATAAATGGATAAAAGATTGGATAGCTCGGCAGAGTTCAGCTGCATTCAATCAGCTCAGCTTCATTTCAATTGTCAGTCAAGAAAATATTCATAGACTCGTATGAGCCGCAGCCACTTTACAACGATTTTGACATTGTTCTCAGGGGCACTTGATAACATATTCATGCTAACAAAATCACATAAAAATTTGCAACTGTAAATTGCATGGCGTAATTTGATACACAAATTGTGTAATGCTTCCCCAGTTTCATATATTTCCATGACGCAACTGCAAATTGCCTCAAGCATTTCGTTTAAGTGCACTTTGGTGTTATATTAAAATTGTTAGCTGGCTGCCGACTGCTGTTGGCTGCTGCTGGCTGGTAAACATGGCCAAATTGCCAATATACATATATTTTCAGCTACACTTAGTTTAATTTTTGCAGGCATTGCTGAAATGAGTTTATGTAAATAAATTGATAGCAGATCCCCCAATGCCGCTTTGCCAGTGATTACTCTGCGTGTACGCAAACAAAGCAGCGATGCTATAACAACAACGGCAATATTATTAAATCTACAGTTTACAGATGAATGCAAGTCAGTTTAAGGGTTTCTTCTAGTAAATCAGAATTCCTCTCTCTAAGTCTGACCTCTGCGAAGGCTTATTGAACTTGCCTTTATTATTTCTGTTGTTAAATTTGTGAGTAAGGCAGAGCAATAAATAGTTATTACAGCATATGCGATCCATAGTAAGTTTCTGCAGGCAAGTTCCTTGCGTTCAACTCGAAATATTGCCGTAGTTTTCTCAGATAGTAAAGCTGTGCATAATTTGTGTGACAAAGTTTGTCATGCGAGTTAATGCAGTTAGTGTGCAGCGGTTGCCTATGACAAAGCGACCTCTCTGCGAGTGTGCAACTAGCTATGGCTGGAGACTTCAGCCAGTAGCTGAAATATTTTCAAATTTGCATGCTAATGAATGGTGTGAAACCGTTATGAATTATGTGATAGAGTCGCATGTGTGTCTGTGTGTGTGCAGGACGTCTGTATGCCAGGACAACAAGGACTATGAATTTTGAACATTTTCAATCGTGAAAATGCAACCGGACTGCATGCAAGCTTGACATCACAGATTACTCGACTTAATTGCATGTCGAACTTTTTCACTGGCAGCCAACAGCTGCAAAGATTACTCTCGCTGACTGAGCGACACGGGGCAGGAGCAGGACGGAGCATGAAGCTAATTCTAAAATTGAAAGCGCCTGTTGGCAACTAGCCACAGCTACAGCTACCAGTCAATATTCAACTGGTAATCCAACTCTAACTAGTAGCACATGTGAGATTTTTTCAAACGGATAATTCTCCGTTGACTTGACTGGAACAGATGATGGCAAGCAATTACCAAAAACAGCTGCAAAAGAAATGCTAAAGAGGGAGACAGAGGGAGCGAGAGATACAAATACAGAGAGAAATATAGAATTACTTAAGCAGCTGCCAGTTGAACTTTAAGTTCAAATCAATGCCAAATATATTTCATGAACCAGTCATTGGCTCTTAAAAATAAAGATAATTTTTTAAAATAAGCTATATTAATTGTTTTTTTAACCATTTTGAATACTTTACCTTATACATACCTACTTACCTTAATATTAACAGTTAAAGATACCCAAAGTTTCGCACAAATGCATAAAATACATTTGTATTATATTTTCTCTCTGTTATATTCACACATATATACTTACATATATGTATATATATTTATATATAGATATTTTTATATATAGACGCTAAGCAGTATGAATTCATTTTTATCCAATACATATTTACAAAACATTCAGTTATGGTTTTTGCTGCTCGAACATCAGCGTCCTCGATAGTATAGTGGTTAGTATCCCCGCCTGTCACGCGGGAGACCGGGGTTCAATTCCCCGTCGGGGAGTAGATGCATTGTCAATATTTTCTTATATCAACATTACATTTTATTGATATTATTTTTATTTTATATAAATATAAATATATAAATGTATATATAAATATAAAATTTGCATCTAGCTCTTAGTTATTTCTTAATATTATAATTTTAGCACAGCCAATTTGTTTCAATTTTTATTACACCTGCTGGCATAAGCATAGGTAATCCACAGGTAAGTTAGTGTCAGGCGAGGCAATTTCCTTTTAAGCAATTCACATAGATCAAGCAACGATATGTTTTATGACCTTTATTTTGTAAACGTGGCACAGCAGTCGAGTAGCATAAGAAATTGATTATTTAAGCCTTGAACGATTTGTGAATTGTCGAGGTAATACGCTCATCAGATTTGCGCCCCAAGACGAATAACGCGCAAAGGAGACGGCAATGGGAGCCAATTTATCAGCAGGCACGATGAACTTTGACATTTTTATTGATGTCCCTAACAAAATAGAATATTGCTTTGCATAGACATCAAGTTTCGTGGAAAGACCTATTCTGTGACTGCAATAAATTTCATTTTAAAATAAAGAACGAATTGCTGTGCGTTGTATGGAAGCATGCAACGTGTTGTCAGCAGCTGCCAGTTTAAGATTTTACCCAATTTATTTATAGAAATCGATTGTTCAAAAAAGTATAGAAACATCAAGCTCTGCGGAAAGTTTGGAAATCAACACACAACAATCAAAAATGATTGAATACATGAACTCATTTTCAGATTATGAAATTCAATTATCGATAATTTCAAATGTTTATTGAGTGCATGCAGAGTAACAAGAGACAAATTGACAAGCGCAAGATTACACGATTACAGGGATTTCTCATACCTGTGTATATTAAGTAAAAGCTTGATTAGTGATTAA